AAAAAAAAAAAAAAAAAAAAAAAAAAAAACTACCTTGAGTAATTGTTCAAATACTTCATCATCTCCATGCTTTAACACCACAGTATAAGTCTGTAAAAGAATTATCATCATTTAAAAGTTCAACAAGATACTAACCACTAAAACATGTACTGACCGCCAGATTTTAGCGCTCTTAAGTGTCAAGTATTCATTGTAAGAATAAAAAAATCTTCTAAGTTTGTCACACATACTCCTCTGAAAAAATTCCTAAATATGGTGCAACATTCTTTATGCCAAAGAAAAAAAAAATATATAAATACTGGTCCTCTTAGGTCAGCAGGAAGTATAGTGCTGCCCTCTGCATGTGCCTGAAATCTTTTCCTCGCCTCTGCCACTGTTGCCTCATGACCATAAGTACCCAATCTGCCCAATACCAGACCACGCAACATGGCATCTAAGTGACCTATAGGAGGGAACATGGCATTTAATATAATACTAAGCAGTACAAACAACCATCTCATCCTATTTTTATATGAATACGAAATGGGATAACAATTCTTTTGGCAAATATCTGGAGATATGAATTACACTGTGTGACTGTAGGTAGAAGAATATATATATTTTCTTTTTAGTGATGGTAGGGAATAGACGGAATTTCATTTATATATCAAAATGATTTATATATATATATCAATTATCTAATTTATGTTTTTTTACTAACTCTCTTTTGGTTTTGGATCCCAACCAAGTTTCTGTGCAATCTTATCAAACAGCTTGCATCCAAATGCTTTGAAGGAGTCAAAGAAATCCGTGTACTGCAAAGGAACGGCCATGTTGGCCAGGTTGGTGGCCAGGTCGGACCACACTGTGTAGTTGTCTTCTGTTTCAAATGCTGGCAGGACTTTGAAGACATCCACAGCGGAGATGGTCCCAGCCATGGCCTACAAATAGAAAAATTTGACAAATATGAGTTATTTAAGAAGATTATCACAGTAATCACCAGTAAGGCAATTACTCTGTTGCACTGTTTTATACATACACTCTAACATTACTTATACATTCTAATCAAGTCTCATGAGTATTAATTCCTTTAATCATTTTGCTATGGATGTAAACACCTTAAAAAGCACAAAAACTTGTGAAAACCTTAAAGTTCTGATATGTCAAAAACTTTCAAGGGATATTATTACCAGTGCAAAGAGATCATTCTGCAATCCGAGTCTGTCTCTGGGTGAAAGTGCATGACTCCTGATCCCAGGGAGTAGTGCCTCCAACATAGTGGTGGAATACTGGGTACGGTAGAATGCCACAGATCCAGGGTTCACCTGGGGAGAGGAACAGATACACACCCATTTCAAATAATAATACTGAAGAGTACATAAGCCTACCAAATACACTCTGTACGTGGCCTAAGCACTGGGCCCAAATGGCAGCATATTTGATGCTGTGCCTGTAAAATTTTGCATGCTTGTTTGGTTATTAGTTGCTCTTTCTGTTTCGGTCCAGCTATTCTTAGACCCTGTGGGCTAAAACACAGCACAACAATTTGTTGAAACAGAACTGAAACAGATGGGAGAAGGAAGAGGAAATCCTTCTCATCTTGTCTGTGGAGAGGAATGTTGAAAGACTGCTGTGGTTGCTGGTACAAAAGCCAGCAGGTGTGGTAAGTGTGAATTATAGATGACTAGTAGTAGTAATAGAGAAAATAACGATATACCCAGTATCTTGTTAAGGCCCAATTGCACAGTGAAGTTCCAACCACATATCCCTTTCTGGTGAAGAGGACTATCTAATCTAGCTTTTTTAGGCTCATGGATTAGGCTTTCATTCTCTTAGACAAAGCCTTGTTGACATATGCTGATCTTCTATAGATATAAAAATACTGACACAAAGACTACAGATGGTCCTCACCTTAACCCAGTCTTCAGGCTTCACATTCTCAAGGACCACAGTGGCAGATTTTTCCTCTAGTAACAAAATTTTGACAGGAATGCTAGGGCTACTGGCAGTACAAATCTTCACTGGGACTTTCCACAGTGATGAATCATTGGCTGAAACAGGGAGTCATATTAGGTATATTCTAAAGCAGTACCAAAAACAAAGAAATGTTTGTTTACATCCTAAATTCTAACTTCAAAATTTAGGGAATAAAATCTTTGAATTACAACTTGATAAAACATGAAAGCTATAGTGTCACCTTGTTCTTATTTTAAGTAATATCCCCAGCTGTGTAGAGATATGGACTGCTAAAAATACAACATAAATCCTACAAACACCCAGATGTCAAATAAGATTTTTAAAAAATTCCAAAATATTTTTTTTCTGGTACAGAGTAATTTTCATAGTATTTGTATGTTGAATACTTACCATCGCCTTTTCCATCAGCACAGAACTTCTCCTGTGTAATGGTCAGAACCCGGTTGCTGCCTTCCTGTTTGTCTGATACCTGAAATACCACAGTACTGGTTGCAGTATACTTACTATGTTAAACATGGAGAATTACTAAAAAAAGAAAACTGGGGGATATACCAGCAAAAATAACACAGTTAAATTATGTAAGTGATTTTGCTCCATGACACTCAGGCCTATGGCTGGACAGGAGTGGGTAGGTAGTGTGATGCAATTTTTCAAGTTGGGTGAATTTTGGGGGTAAAAAAGTCCACTTCTTTAGAAAAGACCCCCCTTGAAATTGCTAGCTACAGACATAGCTTACTTTAAGTACAGGGAATCCCATTTGTTTAGTCCAGGTGTTCATGATGGCTGCCACAGGTTTTCCACTAGCTTGCTCCAGCGAGGCCCACAAGTCCTCAGTGAATGTGTTCTTGTGAGAAAATTTGGTAAGATAGTCACTAAGACCTTTCTTGAAACTCTGACAAATGAAGAAAAGAATGAATTATTTAAAGAAATAAACTTCATTCCAGACAATCTACATTATCTATAATCCGTTATAAGAAATCAGCTTATAAAACGCTTTGCACAATGTTTCATTAAATACATGCTTGTTGTTATTCTTCCCTTGGTAAGAGAGAAAAAAATTCAACTGAATGCTCTCCTAAACCAAACCATACCTCATCGCCAATATAATCGTGCAGCATGCGTATGACACTGGCTCCCTTGCTGTATGATATGGCATCAAATATTTCATCTATCTCACTGGGATGGCCGACAGGCACCTGGAATATTGGAGGGATTATACAGATCACTGTCAACTTATATGAATGAAAACCTAATAATGGTTGCCCTTTGCAGGCATAACAAATAGAAAACTACAGGCCTCACAGAATATTGTAAAACTTCACAACATCTGCTCATTAAACCACATTGCATTATTTGATAAGGGACTAAATGTACTGCCAATTCAATGGAATATCAAACATCCACAGATTACTGAATTATCTTGGTCAAAGTTTTCACTAAATACATAAGCACAGTATATATAAAGACCTATAAATGTTCAATACAATTCTTTTGTGTGATTTAGATGACTACCTCAATTGCATGGCTGTTCTTGAGAGCATCCAGCTCCAGAGCCCTGGTGAAATCCGTGGAGGCAAACTGGTTCCAGATGTCGTACTCTGGGAAACAGTGGTCGACACACAGATACTCAATGAATGATGCAAATCCCTCATTCAGCCACAGGTGCGTCCACCATTCCTAGTGATAACAGAAAACATTGCCCTTATCTTTAGAAATCACATAATAAAACACTGGCATATACGAATGCAAGCGACACTGGTAGCAGTCAAAAAATGCCAAGAGCTGGCTATCACACTAAATGAGAAAATCTATTATGCAGCTTTTAGCTCATGCCACCAATGCACTAACTCCTATCCTATAAGCAATGTTATCAAATGTTTTAAAGAGAAAACAAAGCTAATCTACAACTAAAAAATGGTTACCATAGTAACTAAGTTTCCAAACCACTGATGTGCCAGCTCATGTCCTACGACCAGCGCTACCCACTGTTTGGCCGAGGACGAGGAGTTCTCGGGGTCTACAAGAAGTGCCGTTTCTCGGTAGGTGACAAGGCCCCAGTTTTCCATGGCCCCTAGATTGGGAAAGTGGAAGAGAGAATTATGTATACGCTTTGTTATACATATACTGAACAAAATGTAAATNAAACTTCATTCCAGACAATCTACATTATCTATAATCCGTTATAAGAAATCAGCTTATAAAACGCTTTGCACAATGTTTCATTAAATACATGCTTGTTGTTATTCTTCCCTTGGTAAGAGAGAAAAAAATTCAACTGAATGCTCTCCTAAACCAAACCATACCTCATCGCCAATATAATCGTGCAGCATGCGTATGACACTGGCTCCCTTGCTGTATGATATGGCATCAAATATTTCATCTATCTCACTGGGATGGCCGACAGGCACCTGGAATATTGGAGGGATTATACAGATCACTGTCAACTTATATGAATGAAAACCTAATAATGGTTGCCCTTTGCAGGCATAACAAATAGAAAACTACAGGCCTCACAGAATATTGTAAAACTTCACAACATCTGCTCATTAAACCACATTGCATTATTTGATAAGGGACTAAATGTACTGCCAATTCAATGGAATATCAAACATCCACAGATTACTGAATTATCTTGGTCAAAGTTTTCACTAAATACATAAGCACAGTATATATAAAGACCTATAAATGTTCAATACAATTCTTTTGTGTGATTTAGATGACTACCTCAATTGCATGGCTGTTCTTGAGAGCATCCAGCTCCAGAGCCCTGGTGAAATCCGTGGAGGCAAACTGGTTCCAGATGTCGTACTCTGGGAAACAGTGGTCGACACACAGATACTCAATGAATGATGCAAATCCCTCATTCAGCCACAGGTGCGTCCACCATTCCTAGTGATAACAGAAAACATTGCCCTTATCTTTAGAAATCACATAATAAAACACTGGCATATACGAATGCAAGCGACACTGGTAGCAGTCAAAAAATGCCAAGAGCTGGCTATCACACTAAATGAGAAAATCTATTATGCAGCTTTTAGCTCATGCCACCAATGCACTAACTCCTATCCTATAAGCAATGTTATCAAATGTTTTAAAGAGAAAACAAAGCTAATCTACAACTAAAAAATGGTTACCATAGTAACTAAGTTTCCAAACCACTGATGTGCCAGCTCATGTCCTACGACCAGCGCTACCCACTGTTTGGCCGAGGACGAGGAGTTCTCGGGGTCTACAAGAAGTGCCGTTTCTCGGTAGGTGACAAGGCCCCAGTTTTCCATGGCCCCTAGATTGGGAAAGTGGAAGAGAGAATTATGTATACGCTTTGTTATACATATACTGAACAAAATGTAAATGATGAAATAAATGCGACTATTTAATGTGCAATGTGCAACACATCATATCACCATGCAGACACATCCAAGATGGAAGTTCATTCACAAGCTCTATCTAATCAATACTTCTTTTGCAAAAATATAAAGTGTAAATCTCCCAGTAACAATAAATTGTTGTCAAAGTTGCCAGGAGATTACTGCCTTGATTTCTACAATTTCATCTTGATTTCTACCATTTCATCTTTTCTGATGTTTTACTGATATGATTAGTACCTGCAGCAAAATCTGCAATGGCAATAAGGTCCATCTTGGGGAGTGGGTAAGGTATTTTGAAATAGTCCTTGTAGAAAGGTAGTGTCTTCGTGGCAACCTGTAACAACAGTAACACACGTCATTTACAACACAGATAGAGAGGACTACAATTGTACCAACTGTGCACAACATGCTAAGCACACTTCATCTGCCTACAGACAAGAGAGATTTAAAACCAGACGTCAGCCTAGAACACACCACCAGACCAGGGTTAAGAACAGGATGACAAGTGTCTCCAGTAGTGGATTGTCTGATAATGCCTTTTAGGCAGATATCCAGTCAAAGCTGATCCAGGTGTGTGTGCAGTGATGAGTACATGTACACATCATCAACTTAGGACATACCTAAGGCAAAGTCAGGTATGGCAATCAGGTCAATTTTGGGCAGTGGATATCCAAGCTTGAAATAATTCTTGTAGAAAGGAAGAGTTTTGCAGGAAACCTGGAATTCAAAATCAGTTGGAAATTCTGTTAAGGATCTGCATATCCTGTTCTGGAACATGGAGACTGAAAATTGATCAAAGTCTTATGGAGTTTAACTTAAAAACTGTAGTTGTATTGATGAGGATTCAAGTTACGTTAAGAGGTACTGGGTAGAGAAACCTACAGTTGTGTAAAAGAAAGAGAAACAGTGAAAATGTGATAATCAACATTAGATTTTTCTATTTCAACAGAGGAACTCAAAGCACAATTTGAAGCCTCATCTCATTCCTGAACACTTGGAACCATTTAAGCAAGATAATAAACAATCAGACATTATAAAAAATTTACCATTTTTTCTTAGTGCATTATTTAAAACTACCAGTATGCTCCTTTATCTTCTTCATCTCTATAAAAATTTAAGTTATTTAGGCCTGTAGACAGAAATTTCATAGAGGATTCATTTTCTGAAAAAGTGGCAGGATGATGAGCATTTCCAAGGAGTTGAACTCCCAAGTTTTGTTCCGCAGAAGTGGACCTTATACCTCTCCCCCTCTTGAATCCACCCCTCACCCCTGTCTAAGGGCCTGTATTATTTCATGGAATGGGCAACAATGTGTACCTCCAAGGCAAACTGTCCCTGTTCCTTCTTTCCCAGAGGAGTGTACACCCGAACCAAGACATTGTCAGCATCCTTGGCCTCCACATAGTCAAACTCTCCCACAACAAACGCCAGCAGGTAGGTAGACATCACAGGTGTGCGGCCATACTTTAGAACCTTCAGGTTGGAATCGGATTCCAAAGCAGTCTCAGATTCGACTGGCTGAAATGATATTTCATGAAGATTCGAATCACAGGTCATGTTTGAGAGAAGGATTGCGACACAGCTTGAATGATATCCCTAATATATGAAAATTAATAACACATTGAATACTTCTGATTTCTTTTTCAAACTGCACATATTTTTACTTCAAAGATTCAGCACATGTGAAGAGCTGTTCTGGGTCAAGCAATAGTATTTGATCACTCACCATATTTGAGAGAGCCACCCTGTCCTTGGGGACGACCAGAGTGACATCAAATGTAGCCTTCACTGCTGGCTCATCCCAACATGGAAAAGCACGCCTGGCATCTGTTGCCTACACAGAAAATACAAGCTTTTTATTATGGTGCAAATATACTACAGCAAATACTCATTAATTACATTAAATCTACAACCATCCTTCTTCTTATCACTTCCATGAATAAATAACATGGCAATAAAAGCCAACTATTATAAAAAAGTAAAAAAATCAAACAAGAAATAAACTGTGAGAATAATTTAGAAGATAAATACAAAAACTTTTTTTTCACACAGCAGAAACAAACTTTTCTCTTTATCTCCAAGTACCATCAACACATTTTACTTGTGTCAGCACCTTATTCAGTGTAAGTAATATAACCTTACCTCAAACTGTGTGACTGCCCCATGCCTTGTCTCTCCATTGGGATGGGTATATTTACTGCGATAAAATCCTCGCATTTTATCATTTAAAATACCAGTGAAGCTGAAATGAAGTTTTCCGGGCCCAACCTGCAAAACAGAATTTAGTATTATTAAAGGTATTGTCCGAATTTTTACCCCTGAAACCAAAAGATGCTGGAATGAAAAAAAAAAAAAAATTTTATATATATATA